CACACCACACACACACACACACACACACACACACACACACACACACACACACACACCGCCCTCACCGTCTCGATCGCCTGGTCTACGGCCTTCTGGAAGACCCGGGCCACCAGCAGCGTGACGCTGGTCACTAGCAGGAGCAGGGACAGCGTCCCCACAATGTAGAAGCAGCACCTGCCCATTCTGCGCACGGCTCACGGGCCGGACCCCGCCGGCGCGCGACCGATCAGGGAGGAGGGAGGAGCCGCCGCCGCCGCCTCAGTACGGTCCGAAGGACCGGGCACCCTCCGCGCCCTCTCCCTCCCGTGGCTCGGCTCCGCGGCCCCCTCTGCACTGGGCAGGAAGGGCCGGGGAGTCCGAGGTCCCAACTTTGGATTCAGTTTCCTCGGGAGGCCCGGGAAGGGCGGCCGCGGCGTTCCGCCTGGCGCAGCTCGGGAGGGAGGGAGGAATGGAGCGCGCAGGGCCGTGACGCTCGCCGGCCGCGCTCGCCGCAGCCCCGGGAGACGGCCACTAGCAGCTGTGCCAGGAAGCGGGCGGGGCGGGAGGCTGAGCCCGAGTCATGTGTCCCGCCGCGGCGACCGCGATTCGGTCCGCGCGCCGTGACCGGCCCAGCGGGCGCCGCTCCCCGACCAGGCCCAGCCGCGCCCCAGGTGGCAGGCCCGGCGGTCACCTCAGGAAAATCATCCTCCCTGGTTCCTTCATTACTCACCTGCCCCTCAGATAGTTACTGAGGGCCTACCAAGTGCCAAGCACTGGAGGACCTAGGATGAACACGACATTGCCCCTGCTGTAGAAGAGGTCACAAGTTAGCTGGGACACGGTTATAAACAATTATAGCACAACGTAACCAGTGCTTTTACAAGGTACTTGAGATCTGTGCCAACAACCACATTCTGTCGAGATATCTGTTGTTAGTTGCCTTGTGTTGCCACCCCCCAACTCATGGCGACCGTATGTGGTACGGAGTAGAACTGCTCCATAATGTTTTCTTGGCTGTAATCTTTACTGGAGCAGATGGTCAGGTTTTTCTCCCGCTGAACCGCTGTATGGTTCAAACCACCTTCAGGTTAGCAGCCAAACCGCTTGTGCCATCCAGGCTCCTTCTGAGTGACCTAGGGCCCCACAACTGAACTGGATCTTCGGGATGTGTAAGAGTTTATCAGGTAAAGGACCTGTGCAGGGGAGGGAGGAGGCATTTCAAGGAGAAAGAAAAGGGGTGCAAAGGCACTGAAGGTAAAAAAAGCAAAACTGTAGGAGGAAAGAAAGAAGTTCCTTTTGACTGTAGGCTCAGGTGTACAGAATGTGGAGTGGGAGGTGGCCCCAACAAGTCAGATTTTGAAGGGCTCTTTTTGTCCTGTTGGAATAGTCTCAACTCTTTTATCCCTCAGCAGTGGGAATCGGCAAGACGCTTTAAAACAGGAAGTGCTGGTGTCGTGCTCGTCTGCTTTGTGCACCATATGTCCCACACACTCAGTGCAAAGCCTGCACACAGTAGGGACTCAATGAATATTAGTTGAATAGATGCGTGTCAACTATATGCCAGACCTTGGTAGATGCGTTTCACACACTCATTTAATACCCATAATAGTCTTGTGAGTTGTGGTTGTGCTTGTCCTGTTCCTCCAAGAAGCAGCCCAAGGGAAGGAAAACAGGTAGCGAGCCGGCCCACACGCAAGTGTAATCCTTGTGAAGGGTAGAGGCAAGGAGGAAAGGTTGGGTAGAAAGAAGCATATTATACTGCAGTGTAGTTGTAAGACAGTTCAGGAAGGCCGTGGGGGAGTCCCCGAGCCAAAGTGGCCTATCCCAGGAGTCCCAGGCCTCCCAGGAAAGGGCCTGCCCTAACATCTCTGCTGAGCTCAGACGTGGACTGGGAGCAGGCCTGGAAAACTGCACCAACCTGGGGATACACATCAGAGGATAGATTTCAGAGTTCATCAGCTGAGGCAGGTCCACTTGTCAGTTATGTTCCCTGCACTGGGAGATCTGAGAAGTATATTTTCATGGCCACTATAATAGTATTGAAGGAGACCTGGTGGCACAGTGGTTAAAGCAGTTGGCTGCTAACTGAAAGGTCGGCGGTTTGAACCCACCAGCCACTCCACGGGAGAAAGATGTGCCAGTCTGCTTCCTTAAATATTTACAGCCTTGGAATCCTTATGGGGCAGTTCTACTCTGTCCTATAGGGTCTCTCCGAGTTGGAGTCAACACTACGGCAATGAATTTTTTTGTTTTGGTTATAGTAGCATTAACCCCATTTTGTTGTTGTTAGCTGCCATCAAGTAGGCACCCCAATTCATGGCAACCCCATGCACAATGAAACAAATGCTGCCCTGTCCTGTGCCATTCCCATGATCAGTTGCAAACTGGACCATTGTGATCAATAGAGTCTTCATTGGCTGATTTTGGATGTAGATCACCAGGCCTTTCTTCCTAGTTCATCTTAGTCTGGAAGCTCTACTGAAAGCTCTTCAGCATCATAGCAACATGCAAGCCTCTGCTGGCAGATGGATAGTAGCTGTATATGAGGTGCCTTGGCCGGGAATCAAACCGAGGTCTCCCACATGGATGACAAGAATTCTACCACTGAACCACCACTGGCCATTTTACACATGAATAAATCAGGGCTTTGAGAGTAAAGTAACCTAGCAAGTTCATCCAGTTGCTGAGTGGTGGATCTGTACCAGGAGAGAGGCCTTCAAAGTCCTTGCCTTTTATACTCTGTGGCCCTTGCTTTTTTATATTCTGTGCATTGCTGCCTCCCAGTTGCCACTGTTAGGAATCTGGGCACAGAGACGTCAACCAGGAGACTTTGTTGAGGATTTGGTAAAATGCTGTAATGGATTAAAAATGGTAGCAAATTCTTTGACACTTGTCCCATTGAGAGGTGGGTTCTATGCCTTCTCCTCTTGAATGTGGGCTGGACTTAGTGGTTTACTTGGCCAATAAAATATGGTGGAAATGACCATATTCTGGAACTTCTGTAGCTAGGTTAAAATGCCTTGCAACTTCTGCCTGGACCTCTGTAAATCCTTGTTCTTAGAGCCCTGAGCCACCATTAAGTCCAGATACCCTGAGACTGCCATGCTGGAGAGAACATGGCTGTCTTTCTGTTCAGTTCCATCTTTCTCTGCACTCCATAGCAACTACTTTCTTCCCAAACCCCCAAATTTTGATACAAGCTTCCCAAAGCCCCTTGGGACCTTCTCCTCATTTCTGATCTATGGAATGTATCACCGCTGTGGCTAATTGGCATTATTACATCTTTATTGTGCCACAGAATCATCCTACCTTGAAGGTTGAGATTCCATCCTCTACATACAGGAAGTCACTGTTGCATGGCAGGTAAATGGTTGGCGTATGACTACTAACCTAAAGATTGGCATTTGAACCTACCCAGTGGTGCCACAGAAGAAAGGCCTGGCGATCAGCTGTAAATATTACAGCCAAGAAAACCCGATGGAGCAGTTCTACTCTGTAATACATAGGGTCGCCATGAGTCAGATGAACTCAAGGGCAACAGGTTAATATACCCTGGAGGCTTGGACGGACAGGGGGAGGGGCTACTACTCCCACTGTTCAGCTGGGGAGGCTGATGCCCTGGCAGGAAGACAATCAGAAATTTTCCTGGTGACCTCTCTGTACCTGAAATCAGAACACTTTTACTTGAGAAGAACAAATGCACTTATGAATAAATGACCGTTGGTGCCTGTTGCAAATTACACAATCATTAGGGACTCAGAAAGAAAAGGAACTTCCTTCACAGACTCTAAGACAGGCCTTCCATGGGGAAGCAAGAAGGGTTATTTGGGCCTCAACTTAGATTTAGAATTTTGAGATTATACTCAAATAATGTTAATCATATAGTCATGGTGTCGTTGTTGTTAGGTGCCATCGAGTCACTTCCAACTCACAGCGACTCTATGTACAAAAGAAAGAAACACTGCCCGGTCCTGTGCCATCCTCATGATCGTTGTTATGCTTGAGCCCATTGTTGCAGCCACTGTGTCAATCCATCTCGTTGAGGGTCTTCCTCTTTTTTGCTGACCCTCTACTTTACCAAGCATGATGTCCTTCTCCAGGGATTGATCCCTCCTGATAACATGTCCAAAGTATGTGAGATGAAATCTTGTCATCCTCGCTTCTAAGAAGCAATCTGGCTGTACTTTTGCAAGATGGATTTGTTTGTTCTTTTGGCGGTCCATGGTATACTTTGTTAAATGTGTTGTCGTAGTTTCTTAGCACTCCTGTAACGGAAATATCACAAATGGTTGGCTTTAATGAACAGAAATATATTGTCTCACAGTTAGGAGGCTAGAAGTCTGAATTCAGGGCTCTAGGGGAAAGCTCTTTCTATCCATTCTGGGGGGTATCCTTGTCTCGCCTTCTTTAGCCAGCCATTATTGGAGTTCCTGGGCTTGCAGACTGGTCTGCCTCCATCATCTTCAGATAGTGTTGATCTTCCCCCATGTTTGCCTTCTTCTATGTCTAGTCTGCTCTTTTATATCTCTAAAGTGATTGGTTTAAGACACACTCTACACTGACCTAGCATCACTAACATAACAGAGAAAACCCTATCCCCAGATGAGATTACATCCACAGGTATACCCATTGCCAACAAGTTGATTCTAACTCATAGTGACCCTGTAGGACAGAGTTGAACTGCCCCAAAGGGCTTCCAAGGCTGTAATCTTTCTGGAAGCAGACTGCTACATCTTTCTCCTGTGGAGCGGCTTGTGGGTTCGAACAGACAACCTTTCAGTTAGCAGTCGAATGCTTTAACCACTGCACCACCAGGGCTCCTATCCACAGGTATAGGGGTTATGATTTACAACACATATTTTTGGGGACATGATTCAATCCATAGCAAGTATTAATGTATTAAATATAAACATTTAAAACATACCACAGTTTTTATAACCCTGTATGGTACATAGTCTCCAAATGTGACTTCTAACAATTCTTCCTATCTTTGTAGAGTCATGCTGTTCTTTGAATCCAAGGTGGATGCTATGGATTGAATTGTGTAATCCAAAAAGATATGTTGAAGTCCTAAACCCCAGTACCTGTCAATGTGGCCTTGTTTAGAAATAGAGTCTGTAGATGGCGGAGTAGTCAGATACTTCGGTGGACCCTCTGACAACAAAGACCTAAAAAAGCAAGTGAATCAATTATATATGACAATCTAGGAGCCCTGAACATCTAAGGCAAAGTTGAGGTAGCAGACTGGCAGGGGGAGGGAGAGACGGTTTGGAAGTAGCGTGGAGTTGCCAGACCTGAGGCAGCAAGAGCCAGAGCCCGTCAGGCCTGGTCAGCTCATGGGTGAGCAGTGAGGCAGGCAAGCAGCGGTGCTC